AGGACCATGTGCACGGATCACTTGAACTTGATTGCAGAGGGCTTGGCTTGGAGCCCAGAGCAGGCCTCAGCGAGAGGACTGCACTCTGACTTATGGCGTGTTTTTTCCGGCTCCGTGAGCGGCCTCTCGAGTTTGTGTGGGGCAACGCCCATCAGGACATCGAAGAGATCCTCACGGCCCCGTCAGAAGTGCTGCCTGCGCGATTTCCATGGAAACTGCCGGGCCGATTGTTTCACGCTTTTGGGGGCCATGGAGCATCGCGAGTGGCCCAAGTGGCCGTGGATGCCGTGTCCGCCCACTTGAAGGCGGCGAAACGGACCTGGAGTTTCCTGTCGCGCGCTGTTCAGGTCACCTTGGTTGATGCCGCACGGGTTGACCGAGAGCATCCTTCCTCGTGCGGCCCCGCCCAGAGACCACCTCACGGCGGTGATGCAACGGTTGTTTTACTTCGAGGAGCGGCAGGAGTGGCGGTGCGCACAATGCAACGCCGTCGCTAGGACTGAGCACACTCACAAGGGGTTACGCACGGGGGCGGGGAGACTCTGTCGACCGACCGATGTCCAGCGGTGGCGAGCGAGGACTCTCTTTGCGAGAATGTCACACGCGGTCCTCGATGGCGTCGCCCTCTCGCAGGCCGCCCCTGCCCCCCCCCCTCCCCCCCCTGCTCTCGACTCGGCCGTGCAGCCTCCTGCCCATGCCCCTCGCAGCCAGGACGGCCCTGCTGACGAGCTTGAGGTCTTCAGTGGGTTAGGTCGCCAGCCGACCAGGCATGGGCAGAGTGTGATATGCGAAGCCTGTGCCAGCTATGTCATACTCCCTGACGGCCCTTGCCGTCAGCTGAAGGTAGTTTGCAATGGAGTCTCGCGTGCTGCTCGCGCGCGAGCCAATCATCTAATGCAGATGAGGAGGGCGAAACGCGGGCTCAATCCACGGACGGGCAAAGAGCTCTGTCCGACGCCCACGCCCGTGGCCCCGCTTTTTCTAGCAAGGGTCCGGCTCCTTCAGCTGCTGAGGTGCGGATTCCGCGGCCTGGAGGGCAGTTGGGGGAGCCCCGCCCTCTGCGCGAGGGGCACGAGGCCGCTCCCGATAGCGATGGGGGGCGGGACGTCGGGCGGTCGTCCGAAGGGGCGTCGGTCGGGCGGGATCGACGTGACATGGCCAGGCCGCGCACCGAGCGAGCTGGCGCATCCTGTGCGCCTCTGGTCCCCCTTGCGCCCTCCCTTCGGGAACTCTCTGGTCGCAGGGACCCCAGCTCCACCTCGGCGCAGCGGAGCCAACCTGTGCCCCAGCCTGTCCGTGCGCGGCCGCACTCAGAGGATGCTTCTCGTGTCGACGGGGGCGCGGGCCGAGGGGTCCACGTCTGGCTCGGACTGAGGAGGGGTAGCTGGGCGTTCGGCGGCCTGCTGTTCTGAGCAGGTTGCCGATGCCAGCTTGGCCCCTGCGCTCGCCGTGGCCTGTTTTTCCGAGCGCCCGCCCTGCCATCTTTCTCCACGCAGAGAGCCGGCGCTCACTCGTGCAGGCGCGGCCTGCAACGGCCGAGGCGTTAGTCTGTGACATGCGCCTCGCTGAACTCGTAACCTCGTAACCTCCTCCTCCTTCTCCTCGTCCTCCTCCTCCTCCTCCCCCTCTTCCTCCTCCTCCGCCTCCTCCTCCTCCAGCTTGCCTCCTCCTCCTCCTCCTCCTCCTCCTCCTCCTCTTCCTCCTCCTCCTCCTCCCTCCTCCTCCGCCTCCTCCTCCCTCCTCCTCCTCCTCCTCCTCCTCCTCCTCCTCCTCCTCCTCCTCCTCCTCCTCCCCCTCGTTCTCTCATCCGGCGGTCGTGATAGGATTCGGCATCGCCATAATATCGAGAAGGTTCCGTGTCGTAGTATGATGAGCCAGGCGAGGATTTCCCAGAAACTAACCACAACCACGTCCACGACGCAAACGTGATCCCCACCACCAGCCCTCTGGACAACATTCGTACAAGAGCACTGTGACGGCGAGAGGTGCGAGCAACTACCATTGCCAGTGATCTCGTCGCGTAAGGCATCAAGAATCGCCCCCCCAATTCTGCAAGTCGATGTGCGGAGGCGGCGGGTTACTGCCAGAAAAAATTGAAGACGACGAGGCCGCCGCGTCCGAGGATAGGGAGATCCCGGCTGCCCTCCGTGGACGGGCGGGTTGCCTTGCAGCTCGAAGTCTGTTGGTGCCGACGCGCGCCGAGCTGACAGTTTCGATTGGGTGTCTTGGCCGCAAGGCGTGCCGAGGTAGTAGACCACATACTGGCCAGCACCCCATGCGTTGCAGCTAGGCGCGCGTAGCTGGACAGTGCGATGCCGAAGACGACCACGCGAGCGCGGCGGAGGCCACGAGACCGAGCTTCCCAAGCGCTGTCGAAGGGCGCGAGCATGACAGAGCTTCTCTAATCAGACGGTGGAGGCGCTGGCTTTCCAGATAGTGGAGGACTTTGACAGGTTGTTTATCGCAGCCGGGCATGACAACTGTGCCTGCATGGATGCCGCGTTCCGTTCGTTCCCATTTGTTTTCATATGTGCGAAGGACCAAAGTCACCAAGGTTGAGGTCTTCTGGCCAAGGTCACCTGAATCCACGGTCCCATCAAGACAGGGAAGACGTCAACCTCATGACCACCGCGCAACGACCGCAACATGAGCTCGTATCGAAAGCACTGGATTGGGGTACGCCCTGGCTGTCGAATCTGTTCTCGGCCGAGCCTTTTCGATGACTACGTGTACAGGTTGAATTGGTGCATCGGCTACCTGGCGTGCCTACTGCACTACAACATGTGACGGCCCATCTTCTCTTCGAATGCCACCAGTGTCTGGCAGAAGCGTCGACGCATGGCCATGGACATATGCCAGAATGCTTGGTCCGTTTCCCTCCCTCAGTGTGAACGCCTCGCACATGTTATCTTTTTCTTGTGGCCTGGCAGGGACCAAGACAGGGTGTCGGCCCTGCGGCTGCGTGCTCGTGATCATCGGCGGCTGCGCAATTGGCATCTCGATCATTTAGGAATGTGACCTAAAGACCGTTGCGTCTTCGTGGGCAAAATTGCAGCCCATCCTCCTCGCGAGCTCCAGCTTTTTCTTCCAATGCAGCCGATGCAGCTCATCAGCGACGACAACTCCTGTGATCCTGTGGACATTGACCCGCCCGACGCTGACCACGCCACCGACTCGCATAGTGACTAGCTTTCAGATGAACGTGGCCTCACATTCGCCTGCTCAGGACATCCATCACCTTCTGAAGATGATGTTGTCGCGATGGGCGGAGCTTTTGGTCTTGCCGATGAGCTCAGCGCGCAACGCGCGGCCATGGCGAGGCCTGTTGACGGGTAGGTGTGCTTGGACTTTCCACCAGCCGCTAGTGTTGATGCTGCGGCTGCTATCGTTCGTGTTCTGGTGCCTCCGAGAAGGGGTTCCCCTCGGTGCTTTCCATCTGGATCGCCGACGGCAATGGGCTCCACTGACAGCATACCGCAGCCCATTGGTCTGTCAAAACCCATGCCGCCTCCTCCTGCGATTGTTTCGATGAGGCGTTCAACCCAGATATTTTCGAAGTGGAAAATCGGAAGATGTGCAGATGGGAATTGGCAGTTCACTTGTTGCCGATGGACACGACACCGAGTGACCCTCGGCTCCGTCACACGAAGTTGTTCACCATGCTGCTCCAGCGCCTCCTGCAGGCGTGCATGATGAGGAGGGCAGCGACGCTGCTGCTGTTGCTGCTGGGCATCGTTCGGGGTGCCTTCTCGGTTTTTGTCTCTCTGGGTTTAGTTTGGCTATCGCGCCAATTCCCCTACAAGGCGATCCCGGAACACAGTCTTCTCCACATCATAGAGCGTTTTCTCTTGGTTGCCTCGTCGATTACCATTTGCAGTTGCCGGTAGTCAAGAAGTTGTTCTGGTTCTTGGTGGAGGTGGCCATCCATTCCCAGACTACGATCCGCTTCTTAAAGTTCGTGCTCACGACATCGTTCCAACGCGTGGGTCCTCAACCTCCCTTGCAGATTTGATGAAGGGCTGAGCCCACTCCTGGACCAAATCGGCGCCGAGTCCGCCTTCCCGACTACACATCAACTCGTTCATGATCATGAAGTTCCCGATCCACTGCAAGTTGCGGAGGTTCCTCCGGCTGACGCTGGGCGCCTGATCGACCTCGACGAGCTTCTTCCCATGCCGTAGGCATCTCCACCCAGCCGCTCGCCGTCACCAGCATCCTCAGCACCTACGGCTTGCAATCGTCTTCCTGCAACCTGGACGTCGACGCTACGAGCCTGAGTGGTTCGGCCAGCGGCGCGGATGGGGCACGGGCGCAAGGAGACACGCGCTCCCCTCGCACGCTGGGCTGCTTCTCCTTCCCTCACCTATCGCAATCTCGGACACGGGCGTGCGGGCTCTCCTTTGGAGGATCGCCTCATCGTCATCATCCCCCTCCTACGGACCCTTGGACGTCATGTCCCCCGTCCGCGCCCCTCTTACATCCGACCCCGTCATCTGCATTGGGCTCGCGTTCCTGCCGTTGTACACCGCCCAACTCGAACAAGAGCACGCCCGTGCATACGCAGTGTTGTCATTCCACCGGTTGAAACAAAGTGTACCCCCCCGCCCTAATCCTTTTCAGCGTACGCCCGCCTGCATCCCGCAGCGCTGGCTGCCATCAGCATGCAGATGAGATCGGCATGGGCGGCACCTTCTGCCATTTGCGCTTCTCTTATATCCTCTATACCCTCCGCCTCCTCCTCCTCCTCCTCCTCCTCCTCCTCCCTCCTCCTCCTCGGCCCCCCCTCGATCCTCCTCTGGACCCCGCCCTTCCTCACCGATATTCCCCATAGCATCTGCTCCTACTCCTTGGTCCTCCTCGTATCCTCTGCTCCTCCACTTCTATCCTCATCTGTCTGCTTCTGTCCTCCTCGACCCTCGCCCCCCCACTATCTTTTCTGTTCTCAGCCCCGCCCGGCCCCGCCCCTCCTCTGCGCGCGCGGACGGCACAGCCCCGCTCAGGCGGGCGAGGTGCTGACGGCTCTCCACTGCAGGCACTTTTTCCACGTCGCCTGCCTCGCCCAGTGGGTGCGGAGGCCGCAGGGCCCCCTCTCTTGTGCGCGGGGGGGGGGGGCGGGGCGGGCAGCGAGGCAGCTTGGATGTATTAGAATCGGAAAACGGTACCGAGACCGCTACCCTTCGCTTTGATTGCTTCGGCCTTCTGGGAGGCCCTCGTCAACCACCGATGGATTCGCCCCGCTTTTCTGGTCAGCACGCACCCCGGGAGAGGTCTGGGGAGTCGCGGTACCTTTTGCTTCCCCCATGGACGAGGAGGGTCGACGAAGACAAATACGCATAGGCAGGAATTTTCGGATCTCCGCACGGATTTCTTGGATCGGCGGTGGAGCGCCCGCTTTGGCAGCGCCTCGGGCGCCACCGCCGGCGTCACGTCCGCGCGCCAGGGACGGGGGTCCAGCGCATATCCGAGAAGATAGCGCGGACCTCCGAAAGTGTATGTTTATGCACTATTTTGACTCAGGCAGGCTGCGAGGCAGCCTGGACGCGGAGTGGAGATGAGCGGGAGTTCCGAAAGTTCATGTCTATGTTGTTGTTTGATCTCCCCTATCTACGCCTCTTCTGGGCCTCCGAGATGGGGTCGGAGAAGATAGTGTCGGAGGGTCGGGGGATCGCGCCACATCGCCGATGCATCGCCAAGGCGGTTCGATGTGGATCCCGATGGTTTCCTAATCAGCCGACGTCGCCGATGCATCACCGATGTCGTCGGTGTGTCGCCCACGTCGCCGATGTCACGCCGATGCACCGGTAAAGCATCGACGCTGCGGCGCGATCCTCCTGCTGCAGCTGCGCCCTGTCTGCAGAGGGGCGAGCGAGGTGCCGATGCCGCTGCTCGAGCTGGGGAGCCCGCGCCGCCACGGTCGGGCTCTCCCCGAGTTCCGGGCCAGAGCGCTATTCCTGCTCCTCCTGCTCCTCCTCGTCCTCCTCCTCCTCCTCCACCTCCTCCTCTTCCTCCACCTCCTCCTCAGGTGCAGCTCGCGCATCCGAACTTTTAAACTATCAAGCCCTTCCCTGGAGCAGCAGCGCGAAACCAAGTGAACGCCAACGGAAACAAGGCACCCCGAGCGACACGGCCTGGGGTGTACAGTGGAGACACATGCCAAGAAACACACTGCTTGCCCCTCCAGGGTGCCCTGGGCTTCTTGGGTTTCGACGGTTTTGCCATGGAAAGCGCGACGCTCCCACACCAAAACATCAGTGGACGCCCTGGGGTCTCAGGGTTGGATTCCTTGTGGAGGGTCTCTTGTGGTCGAGCACCCTACTGTAGGCGAAGTGACGCTCTCGGTTTGGGCAATGGCGCCATAGGCACCCTCTGGTTGCCCCCCCCAGTGTTAAGCCGGGCCTGTCCCTCTACAGGAGGACAGTCCAAAAATAGTTAAAAAATAGTGTGGGGACAATTTTTCTAAAATTTGCTTGACCATTTTTGAACATTTGTTGGGTATGGTTAACTTTTCATCCAAAGTCTGCCTGCAGGGGGACACGCCCGACCCAACCCCAGTGGAGAGGCCTGGGCCACCCCCAGGGACGACGCCGCCCTGCTGCCCCGCACAGGCCACGGCGCGCGGCGAGCGGCCACGGCGGCCCAGCGCGTGTCGGGGCGGCGTGGCGGGGGCCCCTCGAGAGGAGCACGAACAGCGACGTCGGCGGCGCCGACGACGACGACGACGACAACGACGACGACGACGACGACGACGACGACGACGACGACGACGACGACGACGACAACGACGACGACGGCGGCGGCGGCGACGGCGGCGGCGCCGACGTCAATGACCAGAGCCCGGAGCCCGGAGCCTGGCCGGCCTTCAAGAGACGGCGCGGCGTGCACCGCGCACGGTCTCCCTGGTGCGCGTCGGACAGGCTCCGCCGCTTCTGCCCTCTTCCTCCTCGCGCTGTGCGCCCCCGTGCTGGTCTGCCGTCCCGCCCGGCGTTCCTCGTTCCGAAGTTCGCCGCGGAGCAAGGAGGGAATGAGGAGGAGGGAAAGAGGAGGAGGACGAGGAGAAGGGAGGAGTAGGAGGAGTAGAAGGATGAGGAGGAGGAGGAGGAGGAGGAGGAGGAGGAGGAGTCCCGAAGCAAACACTCGACCCCCAAACGGCGGCGGACACGCTGCAGGCGCGGCGCACGCACGCGCAGAGAAGCGAGGGGGGGTGCAGGCGAGAGTCTCACTTCGCTCCACCTCTGTGAGTCCGAGTGCTCGGGCTCCCGGGGCCCTCCGCGGGCCCTGGGACCGCCAGGAAACAACTTGGGGGAGCGCCCTGAATTCTAGGACCCGTCTCTCGCAGGATCCGTTTGCTCTATGCCATCTATCCGTAGTAAGGGCTTCGCCCCATGCCGCCGGCCCCCCGTCTCGGATAATGGAAGATGCGGTGTCGGCACCTGTTTGTTCTTGGACCCTGACCCCGCCGATCTGCGTGTGGGGTGCCACCGACTTTCAGAAATGTGGCACATCCCCTGTGTTGTTGGACCCTGACCCCGCCGATCTGCGTGAGGGGTGCCACCGAATTTCAGAAATGTGGCACATCCCCTCTGATTTTGGACCCTGACCCCGCCGATCTGCGTCAGGGGTGCCACTGAAGTTCAAACATGTGGCAAATCCCATGTGTTTTTGAGCCTGACCCTGCGGATCTGCATCAGGGGTGCTACTGAAGTTCAAACATGTGGCAAATCCCATTTGTTTTTGGACCCTGACCCCGCCGATCTGCGTCAGGGGTGCCACTGAAGTTCAAACATGTGGCAAATCCCATGTGTTTTTGAGCCTGACCCTGCGGATCTGCATCAGGGGTGCTACTGAAGTTCAAACATGTGGCAAATCCCATTTGTTTTTGGACCCTGACCCCGCCGATCTGCGTCAGGGGTGCCACTGAAGTTCAAACATGTGGCAAATCCCATGTGTTTTTGAGCCTGACCCTGCGGATCTGCGTGAGGGGTGTCAATTTTTACCCCCCCAGAAATTCTGAGAACCCTCCCAGGGCGTGGTAGCTCTGCTGGTTTGGGCTCCCCCCCCCCTCGCGCGTCCATCAACAAGGAACAGAGCAGCAAGAAGCAGTAACGGTGGAAACTGGAAGCTGCAACTGTACATGGAGCAGCACATTCCCGGCCTACAGCCTGGTGGCCCCGCAAGGGGGCCGGCGGATTAATGGTTCTCCTCCTTCTCCTCAACAGGCGTGGCCTGTCAGCAAGACGGACGACCATGAAAGTGTCCCGAGCAGGCATCTTTTGTCGTTGTTAAGTCGGCATTGGCTGAATTGCCAACGATTGCACCATTTCTCATCCTCCTCCGCCAAGGATTGCCAGGCCACATCCACGACTGAAGCCCAAACGTCGAGCATCGTGAGACTCAGACCGCCTTTGTCCGATGGTTACCAGGACGTGTCTTAGCCCAATGTGTGTGATTGCCCCGTTTAGCTCCGCTGATATCACGCAGCCTGTGCCAGCCCTCACCATACCAGCGGCGGCATATTGACGGGTTCCGGTGGACAGGCACACATTGGTGCTAAGGCAAGTTCTGAGCATCATCCCCGAATCAAAACTCCTGATTGTTTTTGTAGGTCGCCGCGGCGATCGCGGCGGCCACAAGTCGGGGCAATGTTTTTTGTCAAAGAGTGGCATGCCCCTTCCCAGCCCCCCCCCCGCTCTGCGATATTGACGTGGCCCCATAGCTAAGCATATATCGACAGAGAGCTGTCAACGTATGTCCATCATGGGCAGTCATGTTGTTTTGGTTAGCTGTCGGTTATCATCACCGAGCGCGGTCCACTACCCGCAAAGTGCCTACCCAAAAACGCCCCCCCCAAAACAAAGAAGTTTTGATCGATGCAATATGGGGCATGTCTGATTCGATGACATAGTCCAGCGCGTTTGCGAGCCGCCACTTTGCGAGGAGTGCAGCGCGCTTGCCTGTATCACGAAACCACGGCACTTGGTCAGGGGCAACGATAGGGGGGGTAGATAGGCGTAGGGGAGATGCATCGACCCCTGGCCCTGTCGCCGATTGATCGCCGACAGGGGTCTGATAGCCCCATCCTGCCCAGAAACGTGAGGAATCGCTATCGGGGGCCTACCGCCGATCTATCGGCGATGTATGGCCGATTCCACGTAGATGTTTACCCCCTAATGCCAGTCCCCCCCCGATCGTTGCCCCTCGGAAGTCAATTGGCCTCCTGAGAAGTTTGCCAAGCCTTCCCCGAAGACACAGAACACTTTTTCGGCAGCCTCCCCGGGGTTCCTAAGAAGCCCCGCCGCCGTCTGAGAAGACCTTCTCCTTCTTCACTGCCGCCCCTCGCTCGCCGCCGATCATTATATCCTCCATTCTTTTCCTCCCTTTGCCTCCCAGCGACGACGACGACGACGGACGACGACGACGGACGACGACGACGGACGACGACGACGGACGACGACGACGGACGACGACGACGGACGACGACGACGACGACGACGACGACGACGACGACGACGACGACGACGACGACGTCGACGTCGACGACGACGACGACGACGATGGCGACGGCGCTGACGTCTTTGACGGCGACGACGTCGTTGACGACAACGACGACGACTATGACGACGATGACGACGACCAGCCGAGGGGCCGAGGGGCCGAAGGCCCGGAGTGGGACGGGGCGGCCAGGGCCACGGGGTGCCCGCTCTGCCGCGCGCCCTGCGCGGAGCCGGCGCCCACCTGAGCCGCGGGCCTCGCGCGCGCGCGGGGGGGCAGCCCGTCTGGCGGGCGGCCGGGGGCTGAAAGCGCGCGCATTGCAGGCATGCGCGCCCCCCCTTTCATCCTCCTCCTCCTCCTCCTCCTCCTCCTTGTCCTCCTCCTTCTCCAGGGGCCCTGTCAGGAGTCCGCCCCCCTCGGGGGGAGCCGCCCTCGGGGGCTCATCAGTGATGGATCGCTGATGTCAAATCGCTGTTCCCCCCCCCCTGGGCCAGTTTCCCTTGCCCATGGCCCCTCACTAGGGGAACGAACAATGACACTAGCCTGGCGAAGGACCCAACCATATGCAGCTGCGAGTACCGCAAGGATACCAGTCTCAAGCTCCCCCCGACCTTCGGTGGAGATCCCTATGGGGCCACGAAACGTGTGAGGGGTGTGCCGAAATGGGTGTTGGGGAGTGCCGAAATGGGTGGCGGGGAGGCATGCGAACCCTGCCACTGGGGCCTTCGGTGGAGCTCCCTATGGGGCCACGAAGCGTGTGAGGGGTGTGCCGAAATGGGTGGTGGGGAGGCATGCGAACCCTGCCACTGGAGCCTTCGGTGGAGCTCCCTATGGGGCCACGAAACGTGTGAGGGGTGTGCCGAAATAGGTGGTGGGGAGGCATGCGAACGCAGCCACTGGGGCCTTCGGTGGAGCTCCCTATGGGGCCACGAAACGTGTGAGGGGTGTGCCGAAATGGGTGGTGGGGAGGCATGCGAACGCAGCCACTGGGGCCTTCGGTGGAGCTCCCTATGGGGCCACGAAACGTGTGAGGGGTGTGCCGAAATGGGTGGTGGGGAGGCATGCGAACGCAGCCACTGGGGCCTTCGGTGGAGCTCCCTATGGGGCCACGAAACGTGTGAGGGGTGTGCCGAAATGGTGGTGGGGAGGCATGCGAACCCTGCCACTGGGGCCTTCGGTGGAGCTCCCTATGGGGCCACGAAACGTGTGAGGGGTGTGCCGAAATGGGTGGTGGGGAGGCATGCGGACCCTGCCACTGGGGCCTTCGGTGGAGCTCCCTATGGGGCCACGAAACGTGTGAGGGGTGTGCCGAAATGGGTGTGGGGAGGCATGCGGACCTGCCACTGGGGCCTTCGGTGGAGCTCCCTATGGGGCCACGAAACGTGTGAGGGGTGTGCCGAAATGGGTGGTGGGGAGGCATGCGAACGCAGCCACTGGGGCTTTCGGTGGAGCTCCCTATGGGGCCACGAAACGTGTGACGTGTGAGGGGTGTGCCGAAAAATGGCGTGGTGGGGAGGCATGCGAACGCAGCCACTGGGGCCTTCGGTGGAGCTCCATATGGGGCCACGAAACGTGTGAAGGGGTGTGCCGAAATGGGTGGTGGGGAGGCATGCGAACGCAGCCACTGGGGCCTTCGGTGGAGCTCCCTATGGGGCCACGAAACGTGTGAGGGGTGTGCCGAAATGGGTGGTGGGGAGGCATGCGAACGCAGCCACTGGGGCCTTCGGTGGAGCTCCCTATGGGGCCACGAAACGTGTGAGGGGTGTGCCGAAATGGGTGGCGGGGAGGCATGCGAACGCAGCCACTGGGGCCTTCGGTGGAGCTCCCTATGGGGCCACGAAGCGTGTGAGGGGTGTGCCGAAATGGGTGGGTGGGGAGGCATGCGGACCCTGCCACTGGGGCCTTCGGTGGAGCTCCCTATGGGGCCACGAAACGTGTGAAAAAAGGGTGTCCGAAATGGTTGGTGGGAGGCCATGCGAACGCGTGCCAACTGGCCTTCGTGGAGCTCCCTGTGGGGCCACGAAACGTGTGAGGGGTGTGCCGAAATTGGTGTTGGGGAGGCATGCGAACGCTGCCACTGGGGCCTTCGGTGGAGCTCCCTATGGGGCCACGAAACGTGTGAGGGGTGTGCCGAAATGGGTGGTGGGGGGGCATGCGAACGCAGCCACTGGGGCCTTCGGTGGAGCTCCCTATGGGGCCACGAAGCGTGTGAGGGGTGTGCCGACATGGGTGGTGGGGAGGCATGCGAACCCGCCACTGGGGCCTTCGGTGGAGCTCCCTATGGGGCCACGAAACGTGTGAGGGTGTGCGAAATGGGTGTGGGAGGCATGCGAACGGCCACTGGGGCTGGTGGAGCTCCCTATGGGGCCACGAAACTTGTGAGGGGTGTGCATGCGACGCAGCACTGGGCCTTCGTGAGCTCCCTTGGGGCCACGAAACGTGTGAGGGTGTGCCGAAATGGGTGGTGGGGAGGCATGCGAACCCTGCCACTGGGGCCTTCGGTGGAGCTCCCTATGGGGCCACGAAACGTGTGAGGGGTGTGCTGAAATACATGGTGGGAATGCATAGAACCCTGCCGCTGGGGCCTTCGGTGGAGCTCCCTATGGGGCCACGAAACGTGTGAGGGGTGTGCCGACATGGATGGTGGGGAGGCATGCGAACGCAGCCACTGGGGCCTTCGGTGGAGCTCCCTATGGGGCCACGAAACGTGTGAGGGGTGTGCCGAAATGGGTGGTGGGGAGGCATGCGGACCCTGCCACTGGGGCCTTCGGTGGAGCTCCCTATGGGGCCACGAAACGTGTGAGGGGTGTGCCGAAATGGGTGGTGGGGAGGCATGCGAACGCAGCCACTGGGGCCTTCGGTGGAGCTCCCTATGGGGCCACGAAACGTGTGAGGGGTGTGCCGAAATGGGTGGTGGGGAGGCATGCGAACGCAGCGCAGGGCCTTCGGTGGAGCTCCCTATGGGGCCACGAAACGTGTGAGGGGTGTGCCGAAATGGGTGGCGGGGAGGCATGCGAACGCAGCCACTGGGGCCTTCGGTGGAGCTCCCTATGGGGCCACGAAGCGTGTGAGGGGTGCGCCGAAATTGGTGGTGGCGAGGCATGCGAACCCTGGAGGGAGGAGGGCGAGGAGGAGGAGGAGGAGGAGGAGGAGGAGGAGGAACGCGGGGACCGTCTCTTCAAAACGAGGACCCAACACCACAGGATGGTTGGGAATAAACATTAAAACGCGAAGGTCCGCGCGGGTTTCTCGGATCGGCGCTGGACCCCCTTGGCGGCGCCGGAGGCGCCGCCCCTGGCGCGCTCCGCGCGCCAGGAAGGAGGGTCCAGCGCGGATCCAAGAAATCCGCGTTGACCTCCGAGTTTTTATGTTGATGCCGTTTTTTGTTCCCTTATTTTTGCAGAGCGCTGCGCGCGACGCGACGGCGGGCCTCGCCACCTAGTTGGGCAGGCCAACGATCTTCGATGCAGCGTGCTGCTACGCTGCGGCGCCAGGAGTTTGTGTGCCCGTTGCGGTAAAAGCACGCTCGCGAGCCATGTCTCGTTGGAGTCAACGTCGCGCAGGGGGGCGAAGGACCCAATCCCCCTACGTCGCCGCGACCCCATCCCAATGCTGGGCGCCCCAGACTGCCGCGAGACTTCGAAGCGAGTCGTCCTCAGCGTGCGCTCACGATCGTCGGTCGCCCTTCGATTTCCGGTCCTTTGTCGTTCATTCTTCTTCTCCATGTTGATCGCGCGTTTCGCACCGTCGCAGTTGCTGGCGTTCTTGATCGTCTTCCTCCCTTGGCACTAGTCCCTAAAAGCCCTAACACTTTGTCTTCTTGGTTTTTGGGGGCTTCTCTGAGGCATATGGGAATAGCGGACGACCCTCGCTTGCTATTGCGTTACGTACTGGCGGCACCCGGGGTTGTATTGAAGCACAATTGGGTTCCCAGGGCTCCACTGCGGCATCTTGGAGACGATTGCCAAGAATACGAAGAGAGGAAATTGCCTGAAACACGAACTTTGTTTCCGAAAGCCGATAGACTGTGTACTCGAGCCCTCTGATCGTCCTCCGTTCCCGGTGTTTTACAGTGCCTTTTTGGGAGGCATGCGGGTCCGGTTTATTGAGGCGTTTGAAGAAGTCGACGTCCAGAGAGGTCCGGTTTATTTGGGCGCCTTTTGCGCATGCAATTTCGATCACCACAATAACCCCATCATTATCATCATCATCATCATCATCATCATCATCATCATCATCATCAGCTTCATCAGCAGCAGCAGCATCGTCATCGTCATCATCATCATCATCATCATCATCATCATCATCATCATCATCATCATCATCATCATACCTCATCGTACACATCGTCGTCGTCGTTGTCTGCCACCACGTTGGTCAGAACTCTGCGCGCGCACTGTTCGTGGATGCTCTGGCGTCGCAGGTGTTTTGGGGTGCCCGCGCATATGGCGACGCTGGATTTGGAAACGGCAGCTCTGGTGTCCTGGAGGCCCTGGAGTCGTTGTTTCGTGCATGTTCGTCGGTCTTGGTTAGGTCAGCGACGATATTGTAGCGCTTGCGCCCATCGCGTTGCTCAGCAGTTTGGTCCAACCTCCACGGTCGCAGCGCCGTAGAAATATTGAATTATTACCATGATCGCCGACGTAGCCGCCGTCATCTAGTATTGCGTTCGCAATCTGTTCTTATATGTTTGGGGAGGGGTCCAGAATATTTAGGCGCCCCCTGCGGAGGGGGTCCAGAAAATCAAGGCGCGAAGGAAGGGGGGTCCAGTTTTTTTTGTATCAGGACATTCGCAGGGGTTTGCGCCATCGCGGGCTTGCCTGGACCTGCATTGAACCTTTCTCGGATCGCAAGGGGGCCATTCGAGGTATCAGTGGCCCAATCGACCCGAAGGGCCGACGAGTCGAGAAGCGAACGAAACATGTTCGGTCATTGAGTGGACTTTGTACGTTGGAATACTGATTGGGTAATGCCCTGTGGAAAAAAACTGGACGCATCGCGCATCCCACCAGCCCATCCAGACAAGATCCCCGTACGAGTTGCTATGACCAGGGAAACGTAGCAGCCTGCCCACCTATGAGTGAATTGCACATGAGTCCGTGGATATGCCGGAGGAGAAGGAGGAAAGAGGAAGATCACAAGGAGGAAGGGTGCCGAGGACGAGAAGGAGGAACATGCGGAGGAGGAATGCGAGCAGAATGACGAAGAATCTGGCGGAACGCGCTCCCGGTCAATTCTTGGTGAACCCTAAATGGGATGAGGAGGAGGAGGAGGAGAGGAAGGAGGAAAAGGAGGAGGAGGAGGAGTACGAGTTACCGGAGGAAGAGGAAGTAGAAGAGGTAAGGAGGAAGACGAGGACGTGGTATGAGAAAGAACATGAAGAGGCTGAGGAGAAGGAGGAGGAGGAGGAGGAGGAGGAGGAGGAGGAGGAGGAGGAGGAGGAGGAGGAGTATTGGGGAGCAGAAAGGCCACAACGGCGGCGACGGCGACGACGATGACAGGAATCAGCCATATTGGCCTTCGCGGACGTCTCCCTGGGGGGGCCTTCCGGCAGCCATTTGCAGCCATTGTTTGGTTCTCTTGGCGTCATTTCGCGGTTTTCGGGGCCGCTTTGGCTCTCCCCCAGGGCCCTCTTGGAGACCATGGGAGCCTCTTAGGGGCAATCCTGGACATCATCGGTTAAAATAAGAGGCGGACTTAGTTGGAGCCTTCAAAATCGCTTATTAGGCCCTCTTGGGGCTGCCTTGGAGCCCCCGATGGGAGCTTCTTGGTGGTCTCTGGGGCCAACTGGGAGCCACCTTGGAGCTTCATGAGCCCATCGGAAGCGAAAGGGTGATAATGATAAGGCAAATCGTCCTTGAAAACCGCAGTGTATGTTGAAGGATTTGGGACTTTTGGGGCACCCTCAGGAGGTTCGGTGCCAATTTGAAGTCGTCGTACGGCGGTCGTGAGGTTGTTTTGGAGATATGGTGGAAGGTAGTCTGGGCTATCTTATGCCATCTTGAATTCACGATTGAGCTTTCTGAGGCCACGTTGGAGCAATGTTTGGCCCAGGGTTACAACCAGGCACCTCTCGAAACCCTGGTCCCGCCGGAGGAGGTAATGGGGGAGGGGCAAACCCTTACCCGGAAGAAATGGGCAGCTTTAGCGATGGTGCTAAACCACCTGGGCCCAGAGGTTTGGTGGGGCTTCGAACTGCTGCGCGGCAGCCGGGGGGCTTTTCGGGTTCACGATGGGGGCCACCTCGAACTTCTTGGGATCGCCCCTCCTGCGCAACGCTAGAAAGTTGGAGCGTACGTTCCGCTTTGCGGGGCCACGATGGAACAGCGCGCGACCGTCGCCAAAGGCCCCGGACCGGAACGTGTCATTCGAACATGTCCGTAATGTTTTTTTAAGAACGTTGTTCTCAAATGTTCTAATGCAAGTTTGCGATGTTCCAAGAACATGTCTTCTCGTTATGGGGTCATTTCTTGATACTCTAAGAACATTTCCGTCCGGATTACCTTTATGTTCTAAAGGCATCCGTTCTATGTTACAAGCCTGAGCCGTTAGGAGAGGCGCGCGGGCCGTCCTCGCGCGCCCCCGTCTCTGGGTGTAGGTGGTTGACGGAGGTTGTGTTTTTCCATTCCCTTGTCTTCCCCTTCGGTGATGGGTTTATCCCTGACCACTTCCCTGGAGTCGGAGCAAGAGCTTCGCGAAATGTTCGGGGGTCCGTTTAGGCCCAGGATGGCTCAAACTTGGTCTCCGACAGCTTGCTGGCACTCGATGTGGCACAGTATGAACCCAATATGGTTCGAGGTAGCTTCCAACGAGCATCCAATGGCCCCCAAGAGCGCCATGAGATTGTTGCAAATGGTCGCAGTGCCACCCAGGACGCCTCCAAGAGCTCCGCATCTTTCAAGCACGCTATGTTTCCACTCCCTCTTGCTTTCTCGCCGTCCGCTTCCGACCTGGTTTGGGGGTTTCAAGTGGTCCCTTGGTACCCAAAATGACTCTCATGAGGGGCCCTGGGGGCTCCCTGACGGCCCCAAGAACGTGTAATGGTACCCCAGAGTCGCTCAAGAGGGGACCCAAGAGGCGATGTTGATTGCTCCGACGGGATGGGAGCAATTGAGCCCACTCCCTCTTCTAGCCGACTGCCTCCAGGAAGCTCTGGAGAGGGCCTCCGTGGCCCCCGAGAGAACCCCCAGAAAGTTGCGAAAGACCCCGAAACGGCCCCAAGACAAACCCAAATTGATTCCAAGAGGCCTCCGGGAGCTCCCAATACCGAAGGATCCGCGAAGGCCTCTATGCTTGACATCTGCCATCGTTGTCGTCGCTGCCGTCGTCATCGCGTGTTTCCCTCCGGTTCTACCCCCCCTCCTCCTCCTCCTCCTCCTTCTCCTCCTCCTCCTCCTTTTCATCCTCCGCACATGTCCTCCACATGTTCCTCCTCCTCATCCACCTCCACCTACTCTTCCTTCGTCTGCCTAAGAAGAGTTTCGTTGTTTCGTTGATGTGGGTTTGCTTCGTTGCGGAACTGGTACAACTGGATAGAACTGGTTATAGAACCGGTCATACAACTGGTCCATTCAAAATACGGGCCGGCATCGATCTGGTTGAACATCTCAAAAGAAATAATCTAGTTGTTTAGTTTTGTTTTAATTTGAAATGACCAGTTCTAGTTATGCCTGCCCCTATTGTAAACGGCCCAGTTCGATGACCAGATTTATCCAGTTGTACCAGTTGTACGAGCTCCACGCGCTTCTCCACGCAAAGGGAAGCCGTGGGGCTGCCAGGGCGCGCCGCTGTTCGTTTTTGTTGTTTGGGCCCCGCGTTTCGTTCGAAATGCTCTGCCTTGCTTTGCGTTGCATGTCCGCGGTCCGTAGTCTGGGCTGCGCCGTCCTCCCCTCTCCTCCGTACTCGTCCAGGCTCTGCACTTCTCCGCATCTCGCACTCGGCTTTGCTATATGCTTCTCTCTCGTCCTCAGTTAAGTTGCTTGGGCCTTCACGTGAGACGTACACACATTTGAAGCAGCTCGAATCAACAGCATAACCACCTTGACAGGGTTGATCACCACGGTGGGTGGACTAAAAGTGTCCACCACTAAATACGTCGGACCAATATGTATACTCCCCTTCCCCGAAATTCAAAGTTGACCGGTTTTTGGCGGTAGGCCAAAGGCCAGGGACCAAGTATGGACACTTCAACTTTGGGTTTAGGGGGGAGGGGTGCGAAGCAAGGGCTTTTCGCAGTTGTGGGTGCTATCATGTTGCGTTGCCTTCCCGCCATGGGTGTGGACACTTTTTGTCCGGGCACCGTTCCTCTCCCCCATCTACGGTGCATCTACGGGGCGCATGCTTCTACACCTTCATTATCAGGACACTGCGACATTTGAAAGAAATTCGTCGAGGCTGACTGGGGTACGGAAGCATCAAGCATGTTCCTTGGTTGCCGGCGTCTCACTCATGCGGCCCGTAATGGATGGATTGCTTTGACGAGTGGGGCCAACTAGCCTGGCGAAGGACCCAACCATTTGCATTTGTGAGTAATGCAGTTGTGAGTATCGACTTCGGTGGAGCTTATCAGGCCACGAAGCGTGTGAATGCTGTGCCGACATTGGTGCGACGGGCGCATGCGAACGCAGCCACTGGGGCCTTTGTTGGAGTTTTATGTGGTGTTGCGAAATGTGTGCGGGGTGTGCCGAAATGGGTGCGGCGGGCGCATGCGAGCGCAGTCGCTGGGGCCCTTGATGGAGATCCCTATGGGGCCACGAAGCGTGTGATGGGTGTGCCGACATGGGACGGCGGGAACAAGCGAACGCAGCCACTGGGGTCTTCGGTGGAGCTCCCGATGCGGCCACGAAACGTTTGAGGGGTGTGCCGCAAGTGCTGCGGCGGGCGCATGCGTACGCAGCCACTGGTGTCTTCGATCAAGCTCCTTATAGGGGCACGAAACGTGTGAGAGGTGTGCCGACATGGGTGCAGCGGGCGCATGCGAGCGCAGCCACTGGGGCCTTCGGTGGAGCTCCCTATGGGGCCACGAAAAGTGTCATGGATGTGTCGGAATGGGTGCGGCGGGCGCGTGCGAAAGCAGCCACTGCGGCTTTCGCGGTGGAGCTTCCTATGGGGTCACGAAACATGTGAGGGGTGTATCGATATGGGTGCGGCGAGCGCATGCGAAAGCCGTCATTGAGGCCTTCGGTGGAGCTCCCTACGGGGCCACAAAACTTGCGAGTGGTGAGCCCAGATGTGTGTGGTGCGGTTGCATGCGGACGTAGCCACGGGGGCTTCCAGTGAAACCCCCTATCGGGTCACGAAAAGTGTGAGGGGTGTGCCAGAATGGGTGAAGCGGGCGCATGCGAACGCAGCCACTGCGGCCTCCAGTGGAGTTCCCGATGCGGCCCCCGGTGGAGCTCCCTTCGTGTGATGGGTGTTCTGGAATGTGCGCGGCTGGCGCATGCGAACGCAGCCACTGGGGTCTTTGGTGGAGCTCCCGATCTGGCCACGAGGGGTGTGTCGACATGGGTGCGGCGGGCAAATGCGAATGCAGCCAATAGGGTCTCCGACAAAGCTCCCTATGAGACCACGAAACATGTGAGAGGTGTGCCGAAATTGGTTCGGTGGGCGCATGCGAACGCAGCCACTGGGGCCTTCGGTGGAGCTCTCTGCAGAGCCACGAAACGTGTGGCGGGTGTGCCGAAATGGGTGCGGTGGGCGCATGCGAACGTAGCCACGGGGGCCGTCGGTGAAGCCCCCTTTATCGGATCACGAAGCGTGTGAGGGGTGTGCCAGAAAGGGCGCGGCGAGCGCATGCGAACGCAGCCACTGCGGCCGTCGGTGGAGTTCCGTATGCGGCCACGAAACGTGTGAGTGTTGTGCCTAAGCAGAGACATGCGGATGGCAGAGGCAAGGATTGGAGGATGCATGGGGGGGAGGAGATTAAGAGAAGAGGAGTGACGCGGGGCGCTGCCGTTGCAAAACGAGGGCCCAACACCACATGATGGTTGGGAACAGGGTGGTGCTTCAGAGGGGAACATGAGGAAGTATCGCCCCCCCTCGCCGCCTTTCCCCATCGAGTCAGCAGAGGAAGAGGAGAGAAGAAACGGGCAGGAGAAGGAGAAGGATGACGGTGGCAAAGGACACGAACTGTGAGAGGGAGCCAAAACACACAGGACGGAGGCGGATGGAAATTTCGACGTTTCATTCGAGTCTCGCGAGATCATGTCGCGAGGAGGGCGGCTGGGCGGCTTTGATCGCGCTTGTTGCGGGGCGCGCGGCCTGGCGCTTTGCGATCAAGAAGAAGCGCTTTGTTGTGTCATGCGCGTGCGTGCCGTTTGTCCTCTCGTTGTTCGCGCCCCTGCACGCATTTGCACTAGAAGTAAGGTTGCAGATAACGCCGCTAGGTTCCAGGGAACGGGTTGCGTCATTATTTTGCTTGGCCATCGAAACGCTGTCTCGCCAAAGAGTTGAAGGCGATGAGTGCGCGCTGGAAAGTTTTGAACACATGGGCCGCATTGAGCAACACTGGTTGCCAGCGCGGCCTCGTTACTTTAGCGAACTGGCTTCACATCGTTCATTTTCGTGCGCGCTGCCAGCAAGCTGCATTCTTACACCGAGAAGGACCCCTGCCCAGGGCAGCGAATGGCACGACCACCAGAACGCTAACAAATGTTTAATTGCAGGCGCGAGTTTTCCCCGCATGAGGCGAGCGACAGGCCAGACACGTCGTCGGACGCAGTGTGCGCGCTTGGCAATGCGGGCAATGCGTGCGTGAATAGGACGTGCCGCTGTCAACGTTGATATCATTTCGGCATGCTGTGCGCGGCGCGCTCGTTTGTCCGAATTGCGCCATATGCGAACGTCATATCGATTGGCAATCGGATAGATGTGGCCTGACACGCAAGACGTTTTGAAGCCATTATTCTTGTGTCGTTCTAGCACTTTAGCTTGGTAGGTCCGCTGGGACGGACTGTTCTTGCTCAAGGTTTCAGCGCCATCCAAGAAATCAACGTGGACCTCCGGCAGTTGATTTTTATGTCATGTGGCGTTCCTCTGGTTCATGAAGCGAAGCGCGCCAGGATTCAGCCCCCCCTCCCTCACCCACGGGGTCGGAGGATCGCGCCGCACCGCCGATCCGATGCATCGGCAGCGCGACTCGATGGGGAGCCCGATCATCTCTACGCAGACGTCGCCGATGCATCGCCGATGTCGCCGATGTATTGGTTATGCATCGGCGGTGCGGCGCGATCCTCCGACACCATGTGCTCTGACCACGTCTGGGTGGCCCTTCTGAAACCTCTCCAGGAGGATCGGTAGCCCCAGAACGAGCGAAGAGAGAGAGAGAGAGAGCGAAACATATATATATATATATATATAGATGTGCATATATATATATATATAGAGAGAGAGGGAGACACAGAGAGAGAGAGAGGAGGGGGCGTCTCGCCACATGACGAGCGAAGAGAGAGAGAGAGAGAGAGACATCAAAACCAAGCAACGAGAGAAGAGAGAGAGAGAGAGAGGGTGTCTCGCCACATAACGAGCGCAGAGAGAGAGAGAGAGAGAGAGAAAAACAACACAAACAAACGAGAGAAAGAGAGAGAGAGAGAGGGAGCGACGGCGAGCTCCTCGCTGGCGAGGCGCGTGCTGCGGGCCCACCCACCTCCGGAAAATTCTGGGAGGGGGGGGGCACTCTGGCGGCTCAGGGGCACTTCGGGCTCGGGGCTGGAAGGGTTCGCAGGGGAGGGGCTCGTTTACCCATCTCCACGGCCTCGCGGATGCCTGGGCCGCGACCCCATGGATACGGGCACGGGACCGCGGTCCAGAGTCCATACCGCGACGGCGTGGCTGTGGCTGTGAAGAGCACGAGACCTGGCTCTGGCCCTGACGGGCGCGAGCGGGAGCGCTGGCTCTGGCGCCCAAGGGCCGGTCGGCCCACAAAGAGCCCAGGAGGAGGAGGAGGGGGGGAGGGGGAGGGGGAAGATCGAGGTGGATCGAAGAGGAGGATGAGGAGGAGGACTTCGGCGGCAAAGGATAAAACTTCCCGCACCTGCAAGCGTTATCCCGGCACCCGCTGTCAGCAGCAGGAGGAGGAGGAGGAGGGGGGAGGAGGAGTCACGTAAAGGAGGTGCATAATATTATGTTGTTTGCTGCTTGGGGCGGTGCTAAAGTTTGTTCGGTTAAAATCCCCCACGTGGAATGTATCAATATCGGTGCGGTGCGGTGCGGTGCTACTGAGAACCTTGGGGGGTTCTTGAGGACTTCCTGAGGTTACGCGATCGCCTCCGGTCCTCTGCCGCCGGCGACCTCCGCGCAGTGCTCTCCGAGGGGGCCGCTTGCGCGCGCTGCCCTCGGCCGCCCACAGCGCCGCGCGCGTCTCCTGCCTGGGGAGGCGCGCGGCGCGTGCAGCGCGTAGCGTGAGGACCCTTCTCGGGTGCGGGCGGCGAGGCCTGCCGGGAAGGTTTAATCTCAATCGTGAGTTTGAGTTCTTACCAGTGGACAAAGTAAAGTTAGTGTCGTGTCATAGCGTAGTGTTGGAGACACTTGGGTGTGACAATACGCTACCGTTAGCGTAGTGTCGAAGTGTAGTGTTGGGGACACCTGGGCGTGACACTACGCTGTGACACTACGATACGGTTAGCGTAGTGTCACAGCGTAGTGTTGGGGACACCTGGGCGTGACACATCGCTGTGACAGTACGCTACGGCTAGCGTAGTGTCATAGCGTAGTGTTGGGGACACCTGGGCGTGACACTACGTTCTGACTGCGCGCTACGGTTAGCGTAGTGTCATAGCGTAGTGTTGGGGACACTTGGGCGTGACACTACGTTATGACACTACGCTACTGTTCGCGTAGTGTCATGGCGTAGCATTGGGGGCACATGGCCGTGACACTACGCTAGGACACTGCGCTACGGCTGAGGCGGGGGAGAAGGAATCGTTCTTCTTTCGTTTGCTTTTCCTTGGGGTTTTGCTTGACTCTGCTCCGTGAGAAAGGACACTACGCCACCGTTAGCGTAGTGTCGTACCGAAGTGGTGGGGACACCTGGGCGTGACACTACGCAACGGTGGAGGCGGGGGCGAATGAATCGTTGTTTTGTCTTGTTTTTTTCTTGGGGTGTTGCTTGATTCTGCTCCGTGCGAGAGGACACTACGCTACCGTCACCGTAGTGTCATAGCGTAGTGTTGGGGACACCTGGGCGTGACACTACGCTATGACACTACGCTACGGTTGAGCGGAGAGAGAGAGAGAGAGAGAGAGAGAAGAAATAGCGTTTCTGTTTGGTTGCTTTTCCTTAGGGTGTTGCTTGACTCTGCTCCGTGAGAGAGGACACTACGCTATCGTTAGCGTGGTGCCGTACCGTAGAGTTGGGGGCACCTGGGCGTGACACTACGCTATGACACTACGCTACGGTTGAGCGGGGGGGGGAAGAAATTGTAGTTTTGTTCGTTTGGTTTTTTCTTAGGGTGTTGCTTGACTCTGCCTTGTGAGAGAGGACATTACGCTACGGTTAGCGTAGTGTCATAGCGTAGTGTTGGGGACACTTGGGCGTGACAGTCCGCTATGACATTACGCTGCGGTTAAGGCGGGGGATAAGGATTCGTTTTTTTCTCGCTCGTTTTTCCTTGGGGTGTCGCTTGATTCTGCCACGTGAGAGAGGGCACAACGCTACCGTTAGCGTAGTGTCATAGCGTAGTGTTGGGGACACTTGGGCGTGACACTACGCTATGACACTACGCTACGTTTGAGCGCGGGGGGAAGAGCTAGCTTGTTTTTTTTCTCGTTTGTTAGCCCCACAGGTCTCGCAGGTCCCACAGGTGCCACAGGTGCCACAGGTGCCACAGGTCGCACAGGCCCCACGGGTCCCACAAGCCCTACAGATCCCGCAAGGCCCGCACGTCTATCGCAGGTCCTAACTAACAAGGCCGACGTTTTGCACAGGTCCCACAGGTCTTACAGGCCCTATTGCTCCCACAACTTTCGCAGGTCGCACAGGTCGCCCAGGTCCCGAATGTCTCGCAGGTCCCACCAGTCGCACAAGTCCCACAGGGGCACACATTCCACACGTGCCACAGGACCCAAAGCGCGGCACGCTAAAAGACGAGAGTAGCCCTGAGACGTACCCAACCCTTTCTATACATGTGGCGAGTATACTCAGGACCACCCAATGCTGACTGGCATTCTGAAGGGCCCGCAGTGCGCAAGAAGTGCACCCAGCAAAAATTTCAGAAGAGCGCAGCAAGAAGAGGAACGGCAACCATACAACATGGAATCACCGGGGCGTGGAAAGAAAAGCGCACAACCGTTGAGCACGAAGGGGCGCGGCGGCGAGGGCTAAAAAGAACGTCCGTTTAATTCAGCAACGCCCGACGGCCTCCCAGGAGCCCACGAACGTGGCGAACGTTGCGCAGATCGCACCCCCCCAGAGCGGCGAGGTCCCGTGGTGATCCGCGTATGACGTGCCTCCGCTGGGCCTCCCGGGAGCTCACGAAAGTGGCGACAATTGCGCAGGCCGCAGCCCCCCAGGGGCGGCGAGGTCCCGTGGTGACCCGCGTATGACGTACCTCCGCTGGGCCTCCCAGGAGCCAGCGAACGTGGCGACGGTTGCGCAGATCGCAGCCCCCGGGGGCGGCAAAGTCCCGTGGTGATCCCCGTTTGACGTATCTCCGCTGGGCTTCCCAGGAGCCCACGAACGCGGCGACAATTGCGCAGGCCGCAGCCCCCCAGGGGCGGCGAGGTCCCGTGGTGACCCGCGTATGGCGTACCTCTGCTGGGCTTCCCAGGAGCTCACGAAAGTGGCGGCAGTTGCGCAGGTCGCAGGCCCCCAGGGGCGGCGAGGTCCAATGGTGACCCGCGTATGACGTACCTCCCGTGCGCCTCCCAGGAGCCCGCGAAAGTGGCGACAGCTGCGCAGGTCGCAGCCCCCCACAGGGGCGGCGAGGTCCCGTGGTGATCCGCATATGACGTACCTCCGCTCGGCCTCCCAGGAGCCCACGAAAGTGGCGACAGTTGCGCCGATCGCAGCCCCCCAGAGCGGCGAGGTCCCGTGGTGACCCGCGTATGACGTACCTCCGTTGGGCCTCCCAGGAGCCCACGAACGCGGCGACGGTTGCGCAGATCGCGGTCCCCCAGGGGCGGCGAGGTCCTGTGGTGATCCGCGTATGACGTACGTCTGCTGGGCATCCCAGGAACCCGCGAAAGTGGCGACAACTGCGCAGATCGCAGCCCCCCAGGGGCGGCGAGGTCCCGTGGTGACCCGCGTATGACGTATCTCCGCTGGGCTTCCCAGGAGCCCACGAACGCGGCGACAATTGCGCAGATCGCAGCCCCCTGGGGCGGCGAGGTCCCATGGTGACCCGCGTATGACGTACCTCCGCTGGGCCTCCCAGGGCCTACGAAAGTGGCGACAACTGCGCAGGTCGCGGCCCCCCGGAGCGGCGAGGTCCCGTGGTGATCCACATATGACGTACTTCCGTTGGGCCTCCCAGGAGCCAACGAGAGTGGCGACGGTTGCGCAGGTCGCAGCCCCACAGGGGCGGCGAGGTCCCGTGGTGACCCTCGCAGCCCCCCAGGGGCGGCGAGGTCCCGTGGTGATTCGCCCATGACGTGCCTCCGCTGGGCCCCCCAGGAGCCCACGAAGGTGGCGAAAGCTGCGCAGGTCGCAGCCCCCCACAGAGGCGGCGAGGTCCCGTGGTGACCCGCGTATGACGTACCTCCCGTACGCCTCCCAGGAGCCCGCGAAAGAGGCGACAGTTCCTCTGGTCGCAGCCCCCCAAGGGCAGCGAGGTCCCGTGGTGATCCGCGTGTGACGTACATCCGCTGGTCCCCCAGGAAACCACGAACGCGGCGACGGTCGCGCAGATCGCAGCCCCCCAGGGGCGGCGAGGTCTCGCGGTGATCCGCGTATGGCGTACCTTCGTTGGGCTTCCCAGGTGCCCACGAAAGTGGCTACGTGTGCTTAGATCGCAGCCCCCAAGGGGCGGCGCGGTCCCGTG